TAATATATTATATGATATCTATCTACACATATTTTTATAGTATTCTTATTGTAAACAGTTTTAAAATCTTCTTTTTACTCTATTTAGTTTGAAAAATTGTAGTATAGTTGAATATATATTACCAACAAATATGTATTGATGTTTCAAATATTGGCTACATATAAACATATTTGTAAATTTAAATTCGTACCGCTAACATGACATAAGATGTATGATAATAAAGTATAAAAAATTATATGTATGCAAAAATTGTATATGTGTTGCGTGTAGTTAACATGACTTATTATGTAAGTCGAACAATACAGATAGACAGATAATTTACATTTGCATTTCACGAATGGTTATTTTTTAAACAATTCAAATCATGACATACGTAATTTTCAAAATAATTATTTCAATATACAATATAAATACGTTTATTATTATTAGCATAGATAAAAATTGTAACAAGACTTTTCCATCGATGTTTGTTTTGCACATTTTCTGATGTACAGTGCATTGTATGACATGCAGATAAAATCGAACAAATAAACGCATTTGCACGGTGAGTTTAAGTGTCGCTTCTCAATTTTCGACTTTGTTTCGATAAATTGGTTAAAGTTTTTCAAGTTTCTTATCCCGATAATGATAATTACTACGTGTTGGATCGAACGCTGTTGATAAGAGATATGTCTATGTGTCGTGACATCATATCAGGTCAAAGTGCGAGTCAGCGCGTGATCGATTAACTTATTATTGCGAAATAATTAGTTATTCCTTGATTTTTCTGACATCAGTATGCACAAACAAATACATTTAAATGATCGGTTTAATAAGTATATCTATTTCATGTTACAAATTGAGTTTAATTTGTGAGATATTGTCACGCGCTGAATCTAAATGCATCATGTGCGTGAGATTACATCACTGATTGCCTTTTTTTGTAACATTTTCGATATTTGCGTCAAGTCATCTCTTCCTTAGATTTCTTGAGAAATCTTTGAAGAGAAATTGCATTGAGATGGATATAACTGCAATGATTATGATAGACTTCTTTACTTATTATCATTCCAATTACACGTTTTACTTTTCATAATTTAACAAAAATTACTTTAAAACTAATGCTGATTGTTGATCTTGGAAATCTTGAGCAAACAAATCGCACGAATATAAATTTGATAGAATGAGATCATCTCTCTCTCCCTTTCCCAGACAAATGCAGATCTTGTAGCAACATCTGTTGCTTCTTCATTTTGCGGATTCTTTCAATCTGGCTGCGATAATCATTATCGCGGTATAAATCATCGAAGCAGCTAATGTATTATTCATACAATAAGATTTATCATAGAATAATATTAGTATAAAAACTAATATCAAATAATTTCGATTACAAATTACACAATACAAAACGGTATTAAATTAATTTTCAACAAAAATTGTTCATTGACGATAATATAAAAATTTAATTTTGGTGCAATCAATTAGCGTTGATTATTGAAAAATATTGTTATTTCATAAATAAAATATAAAATAAAAATTACTATAAAATACAGAAAATAAAAAATTAATATATAAATTAAATAGATTAAACGCGTAACGAAAATGTAACTTGTGCGCGCGCCACGTGTATGAGAATCATTAAAATCGTACTTGTTGTTTAAATGCATGTCTTCTCAAGATTTCACCTGCAGTTGCACCTGAAGAAGTCCAGCGCTACAGCGATGTATAGTATACCATCATGTATTTTTGACTGCGACGTCACCTGATGTCGATCCTCATATATTGAAGAGAAAGAGAGAAACACAAGTCGCGCCGCTTTATGGAATACATAAAAGAACACGCGTGGGCAGGTTTGAATTTATTCAATTAAGCAGCACTTACGCGCGTGTTGCAACTACATGTACACACGTCTACGCACTACGGTGTACGCCAGCAGACTGTTTATCATCGGCTGACAGACAGATGATAGCTTTCGATCGCGCTCTTCTCGTTGCTAACAACTATGAACCGGCGATCTTCCAGTCACAGCGAACATGTCAGTCGCTAGTAACGCAGCGCGAGAGACAGTCATCCCGTGATACTCTCTGATAAGAAAACTCCGCCCAGAATTCGGTCAGATTGTTTCGTCGAGAGAGGAATAATTTTGTCATTTTAAAACTGCAAAACGAGGATGATAGCCATCAAAATAAAATGAGTCAGTCTGACAACCGGCTGGCAGCTTTCGCACAAGCTGTACTAAACCATTATGATAACTAAGTAGTAAACATAACTGAATGTAAAAAAAAAAAAATATAATGTAGTAATTAATACAATATAGTAAATAAAAAATAAAAATTGCAAAACTTTACGAGTAAAAAAATTGTGGCTTTACGAGTAAAAAAATAAGTTTTGATTTTTCATACGTAGACGTACGCATGTTCAGCTCGAAAATAATAACTTGGAGTATAATCTTGTCGCATATCTTAATAAGCATCTATATTATGCACTATGAATTTTAAACATGTGTTTACACAATATAATTTCTCGTATCTATCCGCGTTTACATTCAAACGTCAGATCCATTATAGCAAATATGTTAGTATAATACAATAATTTCCAATGCAATATAACATGTCAATTTTTTGAATATCAGCAACGCGCTGTAGCCTTACAGGTACAAAAAATTACACGTAAAACTACAGTAACATGCGCCAATAGACTATGACATTTATCATATGATTAGCTTTTGTGAAAGAAAGAAATTCACATATTGCGCTGTTTTACATTAAAGAAGAGAACGAGATTCTCTTTCTATCCGCGTGAACGATTTTCTCCAGAATGTAACACGTATTTGTCATCGTTTAGGTCTAGATTTATGAATTAGTAAAAATGTTTAGTTACTGTGAACATCAGTCAGATATAAATAATTTTAAAGCAAACGTGTGAAAAAATTACCAGAGAACAAATAATATGTAAAATAACTGAAACATTTTTTTCCAAATCTATTTTCATCATCAAATCTATTTTCTGCTTCTCTCTCTCTCTCTCTCTCTCTCTCTCTCTCTTTTTATAGAAATTCTTTTTAAGAAATTCTTTTCTTTTTTTTACGTATATAAATTCTCTTTCAGGTCTTTATCGTGAGTGATCCCATGTGTTTTTAGCAACTATCTGACAAAAACCGCTGAGAACCAGAGACAGCTAGTTAATACCGATTGAGAATAATACAAACGTAATTAGGTGCTTTCACACGAAAAATAAATGTGAGAAAACCGGTATATTCGAGTTCAAAATTCGACATATTATCGCCAACGTGTCTTATTATCAGGCCGTGATAGAATGACATTTGTGAAAGACTGACAGTCCGATGAAGATTCATTATCGTCGCCACGATGAAAGGCATGACACGCTATCGCGCAGAGAAACTGAATAGTGCCGCTGCAAACTTTTGTGTGTGCAGCATTATTTTCGTATGTTACAGCTTACAATGTAACTTCGTAGTTATTATTCAAGTCCTTTTTACTTATTAAATGTGTATTTATATTATGTGTGATTTTTCTTTTATTAATTTGATTCTTTTTATCGAGAAAAAAACCACTTGAACGATCACTATCAGATAAAGTTTTGATTGCGCTTTAATTCGAACATTCTTGGATTTGTATCAGAAATTAAAAAAAGGATTTTAATAAAATATTTATTAAAAAATATAAAAATATTTATTTATTAAAAAATATATAACTGAAACAAAATTGTTTGTGAGCAGAAATAATATTTTATTATTAAAACGACTCTTCTGTAAAACTGTACATGAAATTTGTTAAAAATCTATTGATAAAGATTTCTGAAAGTATTTTAGTGTGTATAACGACTTTTTTTGAACAAGATTTAATTTACTCTCGCTTCATTTGATTAAAGAAAATCCTTCAAGTTTCGATGAAAAAGTGTACAAGTAATTAAGCTCTTCATAAGATTTCCATTAAGGAGAAATTAATTGAGCTTTTCAAGTATCTACGGATCATGGCTTGTGTCTTATACACGAGGGAAGTATTTTCATTCTTTGTATCAAGGATGCACGCCTCTCATCTTAAACCGCCTTCAATTAGCGTTTGTTTAGACACCGTAGATCTCTTTAGATCCATTTAGTACGCAGTAAAGACTTGTAAATAGTATTTTGTAGCACCGACAGCTCATCACTTTCCTCGTTATATCTCTTAACTCGATCTTATGTTGTTATCTGACGATAATTTAGAATATAGGATCGCCATATATGTTAATTGTATTGCAAGTCTAATTAAATATGTATCTCGTGCAAACACGTGACGAAATGATAATGCCAGACCTTCGGTTCTGATGCGACAAGTGTATCGCAATCAGCCAAAGCTGGCTTTCTTTCGATAAACTGACACGTGACTCACACAATATACGTCATCAAACAACTTACGCCGCATATATCACGCATCGTTAATACATAAATATTTTTATTTTTTTGCGGTCGGTGAACATAAGGACCATCTTCGCTGTTTCCGTTGTAATAACGACGAGTACATTTTTTTTTTTACATTAATATACTATAAATGACTATTTGAAATGACTATTTGAAGAGTATTAAGACAGAATGCGAGCCAAAACATAAAATGTACGTGTGTGTTTATACTCACAGTTTATACACATTTTGTAAACTTGTATGTATCAAGTGGGTACTTATTCTATTTTAGATTTTTTGCACTTTGGATTTTTTTCCAAATCAATTGGCATTTCAAATAATCATGATTTAACATTATTATACATTTTTACATTACAAAATTACTTAAATTTTGAAAACAGTTACGAGACATTAGTGTTCCCATAGGTGTGCATGTACTTACGTTTTGATTTACTAGCGGTATCAAATGCTGATTGTAACTTTTGTTCCTCCTTGATTTGTTCACGTGCTATCAAACAATCCGCATAACTACAGGAAGTCACATCTTGTACACAGATAAAATCAACAGCTGGACTTTGATCACAGCAACGGAAGTTTCGATGTTTTTCTGTTAGAAGACCTTTTCACAATTCTCTTGTGCGCGACGTTTCCAAGATTTCATACTGGAAAAAGATTGGAAAAGTCGCAAGTTTTTTCAAATTTGTTTTGTTACTTTTGTAAGAACGATAAAAAGAAAAGAAATCAAAAGAAAGTACAGAAAGGATTAAATAAATTTATATATTTAAAGAAATCGGGGAACAAAATGTTTCGACCAAGATTACTTTCATTGACACAAAAAATTGTGTTAAAAAGTACATTTTTCTCAAATCAAATTTAAAAGTATCAAACAAAAAAAAACAAAAATTAATAAAAAAGAATAAGATTCTTCGGGTCTTTAAGATTCTCGGAAGTCTTTAAACTAATGAATGAATTAAATTCGGGTTGTTTGAGCCGTTTTGCAGGATGTTGTGCAGAGAATGTGCTTAAATATATATATATGCATACACATATATTTAACAAAATAATTTTTTTTTTTAAAAAACAATCTGATGTGAAATCATCAAGTTTGCGTCGAAAGAAAACTAACGCAAATAAGAAGTTTTTAAAAAATTTGATTCTAGATCGAGATCAATGAAACGATCTCTTTTGGTAGATAATATTGAAGAGGTTAAAAAACAGAAGTGAAAGAATTGTCAGATTTTTAAAACATGCGAGCATATCGTCAATTCACGCAAACAACACAATTGTGTCGTACCGCCTTGACCTGCAGACAGCGAATTGCCGGGATAAATGTATCTGTCTATAAAAAGCCGGTGTTACAAATTCATACAACCTTCGTTACCTCTGCCCTATCGCTCATAAGTGTGACTAAAGCCAGTGGAACGATCGAATGCGCGCAAGCTGTCCTTCGCCCTGTCACACCACGCAACAAGAAAAATTTTCTATATCTCTACTTACAATGTTACTAATATTTACCAATATTGAATATTGCACTTAAATTGGACTTATTTTATAGACTTATAGACTTTTATAGACTTATTTTATTAACCTTATTTACTAAATGTTTACAAGTAAATATTTAGTAAATATTTTCTTCATTTTATAAAATACATATATAAAATGCATTTTGTAGAACACATAAGTTTATGATTTTTAAGATGTTTTTATGAAATATATTATTGCATGATAATATAGAACACTAATAATATCATTTAACTCTGATTTATTTATACTATGTAAATCAAAAACATATGGCAAAAAAAAGAATTTTTTAAATCTACATATGAATAAAACCGTACATGTATGCGTGTGTTGTTAGAAGCCCGTTACGTTTACTTGCGAAAAGGAAACCTGTCAAACTCTAAATTTTAAGCTGCTATCAGTATAGGATATTGAACAAGCTTATACTGTATAATGGAACATGTGCACGTGTGGATCAGATTTTTCATTCTTCTCCTCATTTTCCTGTTTCTCTTTAACTTTCTTCCTTTTCATTATTAGTGTCGTGAATACGACGTGACTTTTAATTAACGAAAGACTCGCAAAATAATAAAAAATCTAGTAATACATATAAAAAGTAGAATTATTAAAATAATGAAATATGTATATGTGTATTTGAAATATATACATTCAATGAGAAGTTTTCAGTCATTTTCAACCGACTCACGGAAAAAGTTTCGCTGGAACAGACGTTGGAACAGTTCGTTGGAGAAGTTTAATAAACTTTCAGTAAGAATTACGTATACATTTGCAAGCAAAATTTACGCGAAATGATTTAATGTAGCAAATTATTTTTCGTATTTGTAAACACTGCATATATAACATACGTAGCAGTATCTGGTAACCGAGACGTCGATTTAGAACTGTCCGCTGGGAATTTTTCAGACGCAAAACAACAAATATTGGGTGTCGATGATACAAGATCGTGCTTCTTGTATTTATTCAATTTTCATGAACACGAGTATATTTATTTAATTTAATTTTTTATAAACGCGCTCTCTGAAACATAAACAAATTCCTGTTCAATGTTTTTTGTGATATAAACAAATTATAGTAATACATGCGCAAAGGAAACAGAACAAACATAGGATACTTAATTTTCAATACATATACTAAACATGTGTTTTTCTAATAAGATTGCAATAGTGTATTTTTTTTACATGTTATATAGAATATTTACGTTTATTTATTACGTTCATTTTTTACATGTATATTCTTCAATTAATTTAGCATCTTATATAAGACATTACACATATATGTACATATTAAAACATTATTGACAAAAAAATTAGCTGTATAAAGATAAATAAACAATTCAAGTTTAATGTAATAAAGAATACTGAAAAAACAATTTTAATAAAAAAGAATATATAAAATTTATTTAATATAAATTTAAATAAACTAATATAAAAAAATGCACTTTATTTCAGTTCATTAAGTATTAAGTATTTCAGTATTATTTATTAAAAAAAAAGAGTAATATGTAGAAAATATTTCTTAGATAAGCAAAAACTATTTTCTATGGTATAGATATTGATATAGATATGGTATAGATATGTCGTAATGAAAAAAAAGGAAAATATCTCAAAAGACAATAGTTTTGGGAAGTGTAGAAACGCGATGGTTTCGAAATGATACTTGTGTTCATGATAAAGACAACAATAATATAGAGCTTACTTATATCTTTTTAATCTATTGTATAAAGTTATCTGAGATATAATATTATTAATGTTTATTTTTCTAAATTATAGTGGCTGTGATATAAATACAGAGTGACTAAAGTTAACTGATTCACAACACAAAGTTTACAGAGACTAATTATTAAAGTAAACAGACTGCGCGTGATGAAAAGAAAAAATTAAGAGAAAATAAGAAGTGTCTAACTAAAAGTATCTATCTACATATGTATATATATGTAAAGAGAAAAAAATAGGATCAAATATATAAAAGGCAAGAAATGTTTGACTGTCACAATATTGGTGTCAAAAAGTACCTTTATATATTCGTATATTCCTCTCGGATGTATATCACCGGAACGAAGTTGAAATAAAAGTACATGAAGGAAGCAGAAGCGAGTAAGGCACGTCGCGCACGAGACCTAGAAATTCTTCTGTTCTAGTCGACAGGCGGGTCGCATCCTCCCGCAGGGCGAGGACGAAGGACAACGCCGGCGGGCAACGACGACGGCGTCCCCTTGTCAATCCCTCGCGGGCCTTTTGCACGAAGGACCGACGATAGGGAGCATGCGACGCGTGTCCGCGACGCGAGAGTACTGCTCCACACAAAAGGTGGAGGCGTCTGCACGCTCTTCGGTATTGATCCACGTGGACGACGACACTCCTCGTTCGTCCGACCAGCTCCGTCTATTTGTTAGCGTCCATCAGCAATTTGTTATATTTCTAGAAACTGACCATCGCGCTGCTGGCTTATGCATATCTGTTCGCTCAAATCACCCAGAAATCTTTTTCAGCAAATTGGCAATTGTCGAAATCAAAATTAAAGAAAAATATAAATCTTAAAAAATCGAATAACTTCATGAGCGCGATTGCGCGGTAAAGTTCATGTAAGTACCAGTGAATGACCGATTAATGTTCCCAGCGGGTCACATGCGCGTCTACGAGATAAACGAGCTACGATTTTTCGTTCGTAATACGATAGAGATAAATAAGACACAAATGTAAAATATGTAAATTCTATGAAAAAATTAATTCAAGATAAATAACAAATATATACTTTAGTTTTTTCAATTTACGTACGAAATACGCTTATTTCCCGAAGTCTCTTTAAATGAAATCAATAGAATGAATAAACTAATTTTGAAAGTTTGCAATATTCATATATTGAATATTTTGAATATTAAAAAATATTTAAAAAAAAAAACCAAACGAAAATCCGTGCAATTAAAAGTTTGCGTTTAAATTTGAAAGTGGTTTAACAGGACGTTGGCAGGACAAGATAAAACGATATCTGAAGGTGTTATTTTCATCGCTCTCTGAAAATTTACATATTGTCAGAAATTAATTGCTTTTACCTGTAGCTTTTTTTTATATAGAAACTAGTTAATAAAGTAATTTGAATAATATACAAACAATCTAATTTGCAATTAAATAATATATATACAAACTTAAAATGCACTTATAATATTTTCTTTTAATTTTCTTTATTCTTTATTTTTTAATTAAAGAGTTTTGCATTTCAATAAAATTGAAAAATTCTTGATATCTAAAGAAGTGAATTTTGCCGAACTATTTAAAAAGAATATTTGTGATTTAGACAATAGAAAATGGCAATAGAAAATATTAAAAAGCATGAATTCTTTTTTTTAAAAAAGTTTCACTCAAGTTTTTCTTAAAAAATAATATATGAAATATTAATTATCAGTAATACGCGTTACTTTTCAAACATAATTTTAATATATATTTTATATTTTTTACCGTTAAAATTTAGTTTATAATTTAGTTTATATATTTGCGATATTGAATGTTGGTAAATTAACTAACTGAATATTCTTATCTCGACAAAGTAGATTCCTATACAGTATGATGCTCAGTTTTTTATGTGTAAACTATTAGGTAATCTGTTTTTCTATTATATAAAAACGTTTATATTTTGAAGAAATAATTTTTTTGTTATAAAACTTTATTTCTAACTTACTATTATTTTTAAATGATTTTATTTAAAGTATATATTTTCATACATTAAGAATCTGCAATAAGATCAATAGATGGCGATATGTATACTAATAGTACTAAACTACAGAATGATAATTAAAGACTCAGACAGATAAGTATTATAAAATTTTGTTTTAACTCATATTGTAATGATATATATAAGTTTTATTTGTAGAATATATTCAAGTATTATATAAATGTTATACGTTTTCTTTTTGCACATATTTTTCAAGATACATAGACATTATTTCTATAACAACTACATTTATACTTCATCAATTTTTCTAATAAAAATTCGATTTACTTAATTTTGTTACTTACTTATTTCTTTGGTATTATTATGTATCAACATTTCTTTACTTTGAACAGAAATAGATAAATTAAATATTGATACAAAATAAAACTTTGAGACGGTAAATCAACATCTTATTATTCGCTTATTTATGTATGTAATACAACAAAAATTAGAATGTTATACGTTTTCTTTTTGCACATATTTTTCAAGATACATAGACATTATTTCTATAACAACTACATTTATACTTCATCAATTTTTCTAATAAAAAAATACAATCCTTAACATTATTATATGTTACTTATATAAAAAAAATAATAATTAAATCATGATATGTTAAGAGAATTTGCACACTTTGTCTTGATTTATTGTTTAAACTTTAAATAATTCTAATTTTTGTTGTATTACATACATAAATAAGCGAATAATAAGATGTTGATTTACCGTCTCAAAGTTTTATTTTGTATCAATATTTAATTTATCTATTTCTGTTCAAAGTAAAGAAATGTTGATACATAATAATACCAAAGAAATAAGTAAGTAACAAAATTAAGTAAATCGAATTTTTATATGTATATTCTAATATACATATAAAAATTTTATATAAAAATATAAATTATAAGTAGTTTTCTACTTAACAACATCAACTTTTTGAGATGTCATTTTGTAGAGTCATCTAACGTCTAATATATTCAACTTGATAAGTTTAACGTAACAAAATCTTAAGAATTATCTTTGTTTTGGAGATCAGTTTAGTTGAGAAATTGGCTAAAATAAAATTAAGTCGTTAAAAACGGATACCCTTCGAAAAATTTCGAGCTCAATTATCTCATCATTTAAGAAAACAAAGTGCGAGTTCTTCAGCTGATTTTCTTTTTTTTTAGCGTGATAATAATCCTGGCGAAATTGAGCGGCAGCGATTAAGAATCGTTAGAATTCGAAGTAGAATTATGAACCGAAAGAATAACACGGAAGCGAGATCGAGAGAATAGCTTAACTTCAACAAGAGAGGATCAGATAAGGAAGCGGCTCTTCCAGTGACATTTGCTTTATTTAAGGATCGAGATAAGACTCGACGAGGCTCGTAGAAGGTACGTTTTTTGTTTGAGCACGAGCAGGAACAAACCAGGCACACCTCCTTTCCTCTCGCACTCGAGTCAAATATTATCGGGAGTATACATATGTATGTACCTATTTATCCGCTTAGTTTATTTTGAGCACCTGTTTGCAACCTGCAGACATCAGCATGTTCGCATAAATGTGTTATAACGAGCAAATTCCCAATATTCGCGTATAAACATATATAAATATAACGATAAACAATAACGATTTTCAAATAATTCTTTTATCTGAAAGAAAAGAAAAAAATTCTTCTTCTGACAATGAGAAAGATTGGAACTTATATTTAAGATAGATATCTTTTCTTAAAAATCAATGTCTTCGTATAAATAGATCTTGTATTTGCGATACACTTGTGACGGTGAGATCTCGAAACAGGCTCAAATGACATGAATGGGCATATAGTTTTCCCGGCCACATTGCTGGCAAATATTTACTAGAAGAGCCCTTCTCAAATTCCACCAGGCGTCTCAACGTTCATAATAACATTAAAGTTTAAAGTTTCTTTAAAATCATATTTTTTTTTTGCAGTGAGAATAATCGTTTAACACTTCTAAATTATCTAACAATAACAGAGATTTATGCGCACTAAAATGATTTTGGATTGAATTAGTTGTATACTATAAAACTTTGAAAGTATTACACAAAAATGATATATTTTTTTGTAAGCTGTAAAAAAATTGTTTATAAAATATACTATATAAGGCAACACAAGTCAAAATCAAGTGCACATACATTTCCGTTTCGATGTCGAGGGCGTTTTATTATTATTATTATTATTATTATTATTATTATTATTAGGTTGAAATAGCGGGCAAGGAAAGCTCGGATTTCGTTCCCAGGGCCGATGTATCCGTCTGTGCTACGCAGGATTAAGCAATCATACAGACCGATGGTTCCTTGATAGTGATGCTAATGTTGGGTAGAAAGGGTCTAGCACGCGTTTATGGCCCTTTCCGTTTGCTTAAGTAAATCGAAGACATTCGCAGGCGAAGAGCGAACGTAATATATCTCCCCGGAACCGTCAGCCCGCAATAAAAACACTACAACGTCCAGACGCTTTAATGGCGAAAGATACTCATAAAAAACGCATTTTCTTCTCAACCAAAAGTGGCAGTTATGAAGCAAGGAAAGAAATGTTATATAACGTTACCTGAACATGTGTGAAAAGAGAGAGAAAGAGAGAGAGAGAGAGAGAGGGAGAGAGAGACACACACAACAAATTGAAGAAATAATCTATCTCTTTACATGCTTTATTATTATTTAATTAATTACAAATATAAACATATTTTTATCATACACATCGTATAAATTATTTATCTAAATTATAAAATTTTAAACTATTTTGTTTTACTACGTATTTTTATTAATAAGTATGGTGTTTATAAGTTTTAATATTTACATCTCAATCAAAAAATATTCGCTAGTATGGCAAACTACAAGGATTCAAAATCTTGAATCTATCTTGTTTCAAGCTATTCATTTTGCAAAAATAATCGCGATATGAGCATTTAAAATTGGTAGAATCAAAGGTTCCGATTTTTATGATCAATGACAATACGTTATTATACGATACATATATATAAAACTAAAAGTTTTTGATGCTATAAATCGATCTTATTCTTTTGATTAACTAAAAAAGAAAAAGAAAGGGGTTTCAATCATGCTAAGCGATTATGAAATTCTGTCACATCTTGTACGTCTAAATCATTCAGAGTATTGAGTTATTCCAGATCGATCGGTTACTCGAATTTTCAAGAAGACAATATATAAGTACAAAGAGAGAGAGAGAGAGAGAGAGAGAGAGAGAGAGAGAGAGGGGGGGGGGAGAGAGAAATCCATTGCAAATTATGAGTGCAAAAAAGACATTTTGTACTACAGCACCAAAACGGAATATAAAAGTGGGAGGGCACATAAAAACGGTCGGCACGCGGGTAAGGAGATCGCTGCGGTCGATTGGGGAATCATTTCCGTCGCGCCCCGTGGCAAAACGCGCGTTCGTGTTCCATTATCGCCTAATTGGATGAAGATGCACATCTCTTTGTCCCTGCTGGACAAGTCACGAGAGTTCCGAATC